GATTGTGAGTTCTAGTCCCGACTTAGGGCATGAAAGCCTGCTGGGTGTCTTTGGGCCAATCAGCTGGAGACTGTGAGTTCTAGTCCCACCTTAAGCATGAGAGCCAGTTGGGTGACTTTAGGCTAGGAGACAGTGAATTCTAGTCCCCTCTTAGACATGGTAGTTGCCTAGGTGACTTTGGGCCAATCACCAGGAGACTGGGAATTCTAGTCCCACTTTAGGCATGAAAGCCAGTTGAGTGACTTTAGGCCAGACACCAGGAGACTGGGAGTTTTAGTCCCACCTTAGGCATGGAAGCCAGTTGGATGAGTTTGGGCCAGTCACCAGGAGATAGTGAATTCTAGTCCCACCTTAAGCATGAAAGTCAGTTGGGTGACTTTGGCCAATCACTGGGAGACTGGGAGTTCTAGTGCCACTTTAGGCATGCAAGCCAGTTGGGTGACTTTAGGCCAGGAGACAGTGAATTCTAGTCCCGTCTTAGGTATGAAAGTCAAATGGGTGACTTTGGGCCAATCACCAGGAGACTGGGAGTTCTAGTGCCACCTTAGGTATGGAAGCCAGTTGGATGAGTTTGGGCCAGTCACCAGGAGATAGTGAATTCTAGTCCCACCTTAAGCATGAAAGTCAGTTGGGTGACTTTGGGCCAATCACCAGGAGACTGGGAGTTCTAGTCCCACCTTAGGCATGCAAGCCAGTTGGGTGTCTTTGGACCAATCACTCTCTCTTTGGTCAACTAACCTCACAGGATTGTTGTTCTGGGGAAAATAGAAGGAGGAAGGAGTATGAAATATGTTCACTGCTTTGAGTTATTTGACAACCGTTGACCGTTGCAGAGTGCCCATGGTCACATGATCAAAATTTGGGCCGCTTGGGAACCGGCAGGCATTTAGGATGCCATTGTAGCATCCTGGGATCATGTGATCTTCATTTGAAACCTTCCCAGCTTGCTTCCAACAAGCCAAATCAATGCGGGAAGTCAGACCGTATTATTCATTCCACAGCTGCAGTGATTTGTTTAACAGTTGTAGCAAAACGTTATCATACAATCGGAAGTAACTCACTTAAGGGTTGACTTGCTTAGCAACAGAAATTCTGGTCCTCAGTTGTTGGTCGTAAACTGTATTAAAATCTGGTTGTTCCCTAACATCTTTTCTGTCTAATCCGCATGTAGTCACTGATATATTTTGTTCAGGGGTGGGTTCTAAATTATTTTACTACTGGTTCTTTGGGCATGGCTTATTTTGTGGGCATGGCTTATTGGGGGGGTTAATGTGACTGGGTGGGCGTGGCCAACTTTTTTTTATTTTTTATTTTTTATTTTTAAAAACATTATTTCTACAACCTTAAGATGTTGCAGAAAAAAGTGCTTTTAGAAGCTCCTGACGATCAGGCAAGTCATCTGGGATCGCCAGAGGCTTTTAAAGGGATTTTCTTTCCCCTAAAACCTCCTCGGCTGAAGAGGTTGCAGAAAAAATGTTTTCAGAAGCCTCTGAAGATCCCAGCTGAGCCGCGCGATCATCAGAGGCTTTTTAAAAAACTTTTAAAAGCATTTTTTGAGCTGAAGAGGTTGTAGAAGAAATGCTTTTAGAAGTTTTTTAAAAAAAGCCTCTGATGAGGTGGGCGGAGTAAGCAAGCGGCGACCCGGCTGGGGACCGTTTCGGGGGTGTGGCCAGCCAATTTTATTACCGGTTCTCCGAACTATTAACATTTTTTACTACCGGTTCTTGCGAACTGGTGTGACCGGGAGCAACTCGCCACTGATTTTGCTATAAATGCCACGCTTTGGGGAAGGCATACAGCTAATGCTCTCGAATTTGGTATAATTGTCAATTGATTTATGAAATGTTAACGGAGTAGTTTTAATTGAGGAAGGAACGAATAGTGCTGTAAAGTTGAATCGCAGCACTGTTTTTAACAAGTACCTTGGCTTACGGATGTTCATTTTGTAGGGAGGGACGGCGCTGAAATGATATTTCCATCCCTCTGAAGGGCACCATACCTAAGTCCTTGACTTGCGACCACAATGGAGCCCAACATTTCAGTGGTGAAGTGAGATATTGCCCCGTTTTACGACTTTTCTTGCCACCGTTGTTAAGTGAATTGTTGCAGTTGATCAGTTGGTAACCTGGTTGTTAAGTGAATCCAGCTTCCCCATTGACCGGGCTTGTCAGAAGGTCACCAAAGGGGAATCATGTGACTCTTAAGACACTGCAACTGTCGTAAGTACATGCCAGTTTCCAAGCCTCTGAATTCTGATCACGTGACCAGGGGGATGCTGCAATGGTCACAAGTGTGAAAAAGGGCCATAAGTTCTATTTTTCAGAGCTGTTGTAAATTTGAATGGTCCCTAAATGAACTGTGGTTAAGTCAAGAGTTAGTTACGTATTAGAATTTAACAGTGGTGAAATCTAAAATTTGTTACAACCAGTTCTGTGGGCGTGGCTTGGTAGGGGGCTAATGTGACTGGGTGGGCGTGGCCAATTTTTTTTTAACTTTTAAACCATTTTTTCTACAACCTCTTTGGCGAAGAGGTTGTAAAAAAAAATGCTTTTCAAAAGGCTCTGACGATCCCAGCTGAGTTGCCTGATCATCAGAGGCTTTTTTTCTTTTAAAAGCCTCTGACGATCCAAGCTGAGCCGTGCGATCATCAGAGGCTTTTTTTTTTTACTTTTAAAAGCATTTTTTTGGCCGAAGAGGTTGTAGAAAAAACGCTTTTAAAAGTGAAAGAAAAGCCTCTGATGATTGTGTGGCTCAGCTGGGCATGGGGGGTGGGCAGGGATTTTTGCTACCGGTTCTCCCAACCACCCACCTCCATCGCTACCGGATTGGGCAATCCGGTCGGAACCAGGAGCATTTCACCCTTGGAATGTAATCAACTAAACCTGTTTCCCCTAGTAATAAACCTTGGTCATCTATAAATACATTTCACGGAATTTTTTTCAACGGAAAGGCCCGCTTTGGTATATGAAACCCGTTGGGGTTTAAGGAATTTATTATAAATGAATGATTTCCAAGATTAGTGTAAGAAAAGTGAAGAAAAGCCTGGGGCATTAGCATGTAATATTGCCTTCCGCCATCCCACCCTGGAGTTTAATTATATTCTCTTCTCTGCTGGCAAACATTGTCACGATACTTGAAAGGTGATCCAGCAATCGCCTAATTTGTTTATCAAAAAAAAAAAAAAAGTCCTTATGTAATTTGCATCTCGATTTCCCCGACTTTGAATCATGGTAGATCAGAGGTGATTTCCCCCACCCCCCACCCCCAAAAAAATCTATTTATGGCTGCAGAGTTTAATGTGGAATTGTCACCGTGCAGAAAATACAATTACTCAGTTTGGGGAAACAAAGAGAAGGGGGGGGAAAAAAAATTAAAACGAGAGAACTGGGAAGTTAATTTTATTCCCGTTGTGAGAATGCTGAAAGGGAGTTTTGTGTTTGCTTTGACTCTGGTGTTTTTTTCCCTCCACCCCCTACCAATAAATATGGAATTCATGTCTCATCGTGCCTGCAACCTGTTTTGGGAACCTCGTGGGAAATAACACACAATTACGTGATGAGTTTGAAATTAATCCAGGTTTCCGTTATGCTCGGTCACTCTCCATTCTGCTGAAAATGGACACCTTAGCAAAGGCATTTTAACATAAAATCCTTGCATTTTATGGCCTCAAAGGGGCATTTATTCATATTAGAGAAAGTAGCCACAAAAAAAACCCCTCCCGAGACCCACTTTATAAAAATCACAAAAAATAAGCAAGGGTTTTTAAATGTTTTTTTTTAAATACGGCCTTATGACCGCATTCTGGTGGTGGGTTTCAAATTTTTTTTACTACCGGTTCTGTGGGTGTGGCTTGGTGGGCGTAGCATGACTTGGTGGGCGTGGCTTGGTGGGCGTGGCATGACTTGGTGGGCGTGGCTTGGGGGCGTGGCAGGGGAAGGATACTGTAAAATCCCCATTCCTTCCCCACTCCTGGGGGAAGGTTACTGCAAAATCCCCATTTCCTCCCGATCAGCTGGGATTGGGAGGCAGAGGATAGATGGGGGTGGGGCCAGTCAGAATTTTTACTACCGGTTCTCTGAACTACTCAAAATTTCCGCTACCGGTTCTCCAGAACTGGTCAGAACCTGCTGAAACTCACCTCTGCCGCATTCGTTAATTTTTGTGTAATGCCCGAAATTTCTGTTGCTAAGGGAAATACAGTATTTCTTAAGTGAGTTTTGCTTTGTTTTATGATGCCACAGTTTTTAAGTCAATGGTTGCAGTTGTTAAGTTAGTAACACAAGGTTGCTAAGTGAATCTGGCTTCCCCATTGGCATTGTTTGTCAGAAGGTCACAAAAAGGGATCATGTGACCCTGGGACTTTTGCAACCGTCATAAGTACATGCCAGTTGCCAAGTTTCTGAATTTTGATCACATGACCATGGGGATGGTGCAGCAGTCATAATTGTGAAAAATGGTCATAAGTCACTTTTTTCAGTGCCATCGTAACTTTGAATGGTCACTAAACGAACACGTATCACCTGTATTTCAAAGAAATGTATTTGTATTTTTCGTTCTTATAAATGCATCAGGCATTTATTTATTTATTTATTTATTTATTTATTTATTTATTTATTTATTGGTTCGATTTATATGCCGCCCTTCTCCGGAGACTCAGGGCGGCTTACAATGCGTTAAGCAATAGCCTTCATTCTTTTGTATATTTATACAGTCAGTTTATTGCCCCCACAAACCGGGTCCTCATTTTACCTACCTTAGAAAGGATGGAAGGCTGAGTCAACCTTGAGCCTGGCGAGATTTGAACTTGCAGTAATTGCAGGCAGCTGGTGTTACTTAATAGTGCTTCAGTCTGCTGCGTCACCAAGGCTCATTATTGAGAAACTCACGCCAAAGATACTTGTATAAATGGGGGATGTAGTTATCTATCACTGGATAGTTGTAGCTGCCTTTTCTTTTCTTTCTTTTTTCTTTAAAAAAAAATTGCATTATTTTTATTTCAG